AGTCGGTTATTGTGGAATGGATTTACCCGGAATAAAAGTGTATATCGACAGTGTTTAAACAATAGACCGGGATTTGCGGTGGTTTTTCTCCCCGAAAGATTATATCGGTAAAAGTTTATTAACAAAAGACATTGAATTGAGAAACAGGTATCGTTTGTAGCTATTAGTAAGAAATATTTGTAAAGCAGATAGATTTAGTTAGAATAATTAAAGAATGTTGTTTTCTGGAATTACCCGAATGACGTTTTATAAAGAGAGTTGGTTGGTAACGATATACGTCACAGAGGTGGATGATTTTTATTGGTCAATTTTTGAATGCAAGGAGGTAGTGGTTGTGGCTATGAGATAGGAGAGAGGAAAAAAGTTAGTCAGTTTTCGTCGCCCAAGAAGGAAGGAGCTTTGTGGTTTGTGTTTGTTTGAAGTCCCGAAGACGTAATTTACCGGGTGTGTTTATTTGCTGTGTAAAAGCTGATCAGTGTGAGGAACGGGGTACAGAGAGATAGAAAAACCAAAGGGTATAAGAATATTAATATCAGACGAAGCCGGAAACATTTGAAGTTATAAACAGGCGCGGAGATTCGCTCAAAAGGAGGCTGCATAGAATTACACGAGTTATTGGGTTGCAGATACAAGGACAGATAGGAGAAAGGTGTACGTCATCTGGACCACAATAGGAGCAGAAGCAGAGAAAGGTTTTTTTTTTTATGGAGTGGCCATAGAATTACAACGGCAGAGAACGAAAGGTCAAGTCAATTTTCATTAGAGCAGGAGTGTGGTTTTCATTTATTAATTAAATAAATTGAATAAATAATAGAGACAGTTAATTTTGCGATCATTTAAAGAAAAAAATTATAAAGAGAGCTTAGTTATAACACATATTAAAAATCAATGTAAAATAACATTTGGGTCCATGATAGAAAACAACTTCTCATATATTTAAAGTATTATATTGCAAATATTACAGCATTGATTGTCATATAAAATTTCATTAAAATAAAGGACATCTCACATATAGTTCAGTTGAAATTCTGTGTATTTTATTCAGGTCATATTACCTATCCCAATCAGGAAGCCAATTGGAAAATATTTTGAATCCACGATCAAAGGTAAATAGTACAAGTTAAATAGCCTGAGATTGTAATTAATTAATGCTGATTTATTGTGATTAATTGGAGATTAGATCATTTAATAAATATAGACAGGATCTTTTCTAAATAAGCAATAGAATACAATTTAAATAGCATAACAATATATATATATATATATATATATATATATATATATATATATATATATATATATATATATATATATATATATATATATATATATATATATAGTTTTCTCAGATTGATTCCCAGTGTTTTGGCAGTTGTTTTTAACTTTTTTAACTTGAGTTTCATGTTTGCTGGAGCTAGATTGTGGTCACTTGTTATATCTGCTCCTGGGTACGCTTTAGCAGATATTATAGCATTTCGGAATCTTTGATTTATTATTATGTAATCTATTTACTAGCCACACTGGACAGAGTAGAGAAACTCGTGTATCTCGGCAGTAATATCAATGAGAGTTGGGATCCCACCGCAGAAATTAAAAGCCGAATAGAACAAGCCCGAGCTGCCTTTGTAAAAATGAGAAACGTACTTTGCAGTCATGATCTTAGCATTGACCTTAGAGTTCGTATGATATCTTGCTACATCTTTCCTGTCCTGCTGTATGGAGTAGAAGCGTGGACCCTAAGTGAGGCTATGCTTAAACGCTTGACAGCCTTTGAGATGTGGGTATACAGACGCCTACTGAAAATAAGCTGGGTCGACAGAGTTAGAAATGAGGAGGTCCTTAGACGGCTGAACCAAACAACACAACTGGTCAATATAATAAAGAAACGCAAGCTGGAATACTTCGGTCATATTATGAGACACCCTGAAAAATATGATCTTTTACATCTGATCATTCAGGGAAAGATCCAAGGTAATCGTGGTCCTGGTAGAAGAAGAACATCATGGCTGAAAAATCTAAGGCAATGGTATGGAAAATCAACTACATCGTTATTTAGAGCTGCTGTCAATAAAGTCACGATAGCGAATATGGTAGCCAACATGATATCCAACGATCGATAACGGTCATGGAACTAGAAGAAGAGAAGAAATCTATTTGGTTTCTTATTATAATTTCACCATCATCTCTAAATGCTTTGCATGTATATATTTGGGAGTTTATACCACGTGTTTTTGATAATGAGTTCGTTATCTTTGCAAAACTGAACTATTCTTTCACCTCTTTCATCACCTTCGAGTTGAAGTCACCTAAAATCAAATTTACTTCTTCTTTTTTAGTTTCATTGAATGTTTTGTTTAAGTCATTGTAGAAGCTGTTTACTTATTCCTCTGTGCTATCAGATGTTGGTGCATACACTACAATGCTGTTTATGTTGCACGGTATAGCGTTTAATTTCAATAGTGCCATTCTATCCGTTATCGGTATGAACCCTTTGGCCGATCTTTCGATTTCTTTGCCGATGATTATTGCTACTCCATTGCGATTTTGTGTGTTGTTATCTCCAGAATAGTAAAGAACGTAGTTGTCTATGACACTTGCCGCTGTTAGGCCATCAGACTCCACTACATCCAAGGATATCTATCTTTAAGCGTCTCATTTCTTGTGTTAGATTATGGGCTTTTCCTTGTTGGTACAAACTCCGCACGTTCCAAATGCCTATTTTTTTTCAGTGTATTTGGTTGGATGGCTGGTCTTGTAGATTTTTTTCTCAATACATCACTGGGATTTCGCTTGTTGATGACCTGAGAGGCCCTGTGATCTTTTAGGTTTGTTCCTCTCCTGCAGTAATGTCTACTGGTTTTGTTACCATTGCGATCATTGCCATGATGATTGTTCTAGGGATATCCTTAAGAATCTTTAATGTGGTAGTCATCCCGTGGCTTTCCACATCCTTATGCCGTTGGTTAGGTATTTGTAACTCTTCCGCCGTAGGGGTCAATTTCTTAACCCCAGGACAAGAGCCCAGCGGCTTACTTACTCGTACCCGCAGCCGTTGGTCAATAAGTGGATGATTGCTTATGCCGGCAATCATTCGTTTCATCTGTAACCCTAGATAAGGGGCCCCTACAGGGTGTTATCAGCCGGGCCAGCTGAATCCCGGATTTTTATAGATGTGTTACTCAGTTCACCCCACACCTATCACAGGCAGAGTTACAAATGAAACCCTAGAAAACAATAATACGCTCAGTCCTAATATGTGGTTCAGAGAACTGGACTCTAACAAAAAATAATGAAAACATAACTTTTAACTTAAAAAAAAATCACAATATTTTTTCACAAGAAGTTATCAAAAAAAAAAAAAAAAAATTGGTGCATGAATAGGATTTGATCTCTAATTTTATAAAATGCAAAAATCTACAATACAAAATATCTAAAGTGGGATTTGTTGCTCCACTTTTTCATATTTTAGAAGCAGTAATAGGGCTCACTTAATAGCACTCACTTGAGCGCGCCCTAGTGGTACAGTAATCAACTAAAATCTTGTTTAACTTGTGTAACTTCAGCCGAGACTAAAAAGTTACAGTGACACGTCCTTCTATATGCGTCTATATTCTTTGATTTGGGTTTTAATCCCGTTTCTGATTTTATGGTTGAAAATTGTTGGTTATCCAGCTTTCAAACATAAATTTTATATTATTTTTGAAGATAATATTAATATTTAATTTTTTTTTATAATTAAACTAACATTTGGGAATGAGTTTCTGCCATTATAATATTTCTTTTGTTGTTTATGTCATTTTGTAATAAAACTTAAAGTGCTTACAGAAAAAGTTGCAATGTTACAATGTGTGTCTCCTAATCCATGGTAATTATAGAAAAAGTAACTTTGTTTTTAATCATTATTATAAGTGTTTGTAGCTCCATGCCAGTTCTCTGCCGTCAATTTTTTTTAGAACCAAGTGTGGAAGGGGTTTCTTCCATCAGTATGTCGGCTAAATAAGTTGTTTTGTGATTTTTCTTCATCATCATAAGTGGCTCGACAATCCGTTGTAGATCTTGGCCTGCTCACAAAGAAGTCGCCACTCTTGTCGATTCCTAGCAACTTCCATCTATCTTCTGACCCTTAGAATATGTAGGTTTTCTTTCACATCATCAATCCATCTCTTTTGTGGTTGTCCTCTGCTTCTTGTGCCCTTTGGTTTTGAAAATGTTAATCTCGTGATTCTTCTTACAGTCTGTTAATAAATTGTTTTCATTACTGTATTATTCACTTATATTTTTAGTTAAAAAATTGAGTGAAAATATATATTTCAAAGGCTTCCAGTTCATATGCAGTGTTTAAATTTAATTTCTATTATTTTACACCACATCATATATACGATTTCATTGATCACAGAAAAAGGTTTTTCAAAATGTTATTTATTACTTTATTATTCTGTCATTGATAATGACAGATATATTTTTGCTTTAAACTCGAAAAAAGTTATGTGGAAAGTATGGACACAAATCTTTCAGCACAACGCCGGTAAATATTAAACGTGTGAGATGAAAGAAGAACATCGCTTGACTGTGCATGAACTAGAATGCGATCATTGTAGAAACTTTTGTTTCTACAATTCTAATCGAGGATTTTTAGAACGACTAGCTTGTGTGCTAAAATTGCTTACAGCAGAACTAAAAAAGATTTGTCTTTTTCGACTGTCTTCCAAATTTTTTTATTTGAAGTTTAATTCATGTAAAACTTTCCAAATTTGGTTTTATTTATCGTGGGTAAATCAGATTATCGCTAATAGCTTGTAGAACTTTGGCTAAAGTCGGTATTTGCTTGTTAAGAAAAACGATCTCTGAAAAACCTTACACAATTTGTCTATTTATTTTTAATTTGCACACTATTTATCAACAGCCAATTCACTTTTTTTAATACACAATAAATTTGAATATCCCTAATATTTCCAATCGGTTTTATTTATTCAAACGATATAAGTCATTTTCTATTTCAGGTCCAGTAGGAACAAATCTAACGCTATATCGTACCTGCTACATTATATTAGGATATAACGAAACAGACTGTGCCTTGTTAGGAAACACAGAAAATTCTACATATAATGATTTACAAAAGAAAGTTCAACCAACAGTAAATGTTATAAGTACAGTCAGTTCAATAGTTACCCAAGTCTTCGGATTAATTATTTGTTTGTTTGCTGGTCAATGGTCTGATAAGTTTGGAAGGAAACCGATTCTGTTGGTGACACAAATAGGTAAGAGAATTTATATTTATATAGAGCGGATGAGAGATGTGTAATTATAAATAGTAAACAAAAGACTTTTATATTTCTAATTTTGTTTTAACATTTTATTATTTTACATCAATGGATGGATTTGTTGATCGAGGAGTTAAACAGGTTGATTGCCGACCATATTTTTGAGGTATTCTCGGATGCCGTTATGTTTTATTTGTTTTTAATAATAGTTTTATTAACTTAAATCACTTTTTTGTCTAAAATTAGCGAATAAAAAATATACTCCTTTTGGAATGGTCGGTGTCAAGCATTAATATTTTCACAGGATGCCGAACACTCCGATCGGAGGTGATTCGATGGATCGAAGAAATTTACTCAAGGCAAAAAATATAAGAAACACTCACGATATTTTGAAAAACACCAAACTAACAAAAACTAATTTTTTTCTCGTCTTCAAAGCACTTTACACAAAAACTAGAACTTCCAGGACATTGTTTGCATTCAAAAGTCATCTGTTTCGTTATTTTGTTTTGTTTGCAGGTTTTTCATCCTACCCAGACACACGTTTGGTTTCAGTACGTCCTGTCTTTATTTAATTTGTTTTTTAATTTTTGAAATGCAGTGCATAGCATACGATTTATTTTTATGAGTAATAGGAGAAACAAGTACATCATCATTTCGGGCTAACAAATCTCTAATTACCTCCAGCCGAAATTCATAAAAACGAAGACGACGACCACCAAAGTTCTTTTTATGTACAGTACGGTGCGAATTAATGGAATCATAGACTGTTGTAATAAAAAACAATTAATTTAGAAAAACAATATATTTTAACAAAACTATAAAGGAAAACTTACATCAATTAGTAGAAAATATGGCCCCTTTGTCTACAATTACGGCTTTTACCCATTGTAGCATAGATTCTACAAGCTTCTGACAGTTCCGAGATATCTTTTCATCTCGGAACCAAATCTGAATGACCGCTTCTATCATTTTTATCTTTGTACTACTGTCGATTTTGCGCAATGTACCGTTGCAAATGGCTCATACATTTTCAATGGGGTTGAGGTCTGTCGAATTATCGGACAAATCTAAAACATTAATCTTCGTATTTTTGAAAAATTCCATCATTTGCTTTGAGTTGTGACATGCAGCATTGTTGATTGTGACATAGAGTCTTGTTGAAGAATCGCTCCTCCTTGGGACTGGCATTTTTGAAGTTCTGTGTCCAACCGCTGTTCCAACATGGATTTTTATTTTGGCTGTTCATCATGCCTTCGATTGGACCAAAGATCCAACCCCATGTATGGAAAACATCCCCAAACCTTTTTTTCATTGGATGCTTTATGGTTTGATCAATATGAGATGGTGTAAGATTTTCTTCGTCAGATTTACTGACGAATTTCGACCGCTGTCACTTAACTATAAAAAGTGAGTTTCATCTGTAAATAGGACTTTTCTCCAGTCGTCTACAGTCCCATTAGAGTATTTTTTGGTCCACAATAGTCTTTGTTTCTTCATTCGTTCAGTTAGAAGCGGTTTTATTAATCGCTTTCGATTAGAATTAATCGAAATAAACTCACTAATTACCTCACTAATTAAGTGAAAACAACACAAAATAGTACAACACAACACAAATTTAGTGGTAAATGTCCTAAAACACCGTTAAATAAAAGGCAGAGAAAAGTAAGGTTATGTTTTCAATGTCTGGTCATTTGTAAATGTGTGCACAGTGTTGCCAACTGTGAATATGGAAAAATGTCATAATGATTCCAGTAATTCGCATAATACTGTAGATAGTATGCATTTATCATTTTTGATAAATACGTACATGCATTTATCATTTTGAAGTTTTTTATACCACTTTATCGTTTTCCTATTGCGCGGATAATACGAAAGCATTTGATCCTAGCGGTCAGTTCCTGACATATAATTATTACAATTTAGACTGGCTTTAGGTTTTATAGTTTCTTTTGCCCTTTTTTGTTTGAAAATGTCAGTTTCATTCCGATCATTCCCTAGGGTTCCGGTGCATTTCTTACACATTACACACACACACACACACACACACACACACACACACACACACACACACACACACACACACACACACACACACACACACACACACACACACACTAATATTAGTTAGCCCAACGTTAGATTGATAAGAAAATAAATTTGAGAGAACAAAAATAAAAGCGCAGGGTAATTTATAGAAAATATTTTATAATGTAATGAAAACTATTGTGAAAGTTTACCACTGAGTTACATCCCCTTTATTTTTAATGACATCCACAATTCTTTGAGGCATAGTTCATTTCGAGGAAAGCTTAATTTTTCCTGCGAATTAAGCGACTCCTACTGTCTCCAACACACACTTCAAATCTGGACTCATCACTCCATTGTATTGAATCACATTGCGTCTGAGTCCAATCTTTATGCTCTTTTGACAATCTTAGTCTATTTTTCTTTTGTTGTAATGTTAAAAGTGGCTTTTACTTAGTCTAAAATAAAATAAAATTTATTAAAAACAATTCGTACTAATTTTTTCAACTATAAAACTTACTTTGTAAGTACCAAATCCTAATTTATGGGCCTTTCGGTGACGTGTTGATCTAGAAACGTGTCTTCCAATAACGTCACTCCATAAAATCCTTAACTCCATATAATTTGCTCTTCGATTTTTCACTATCATCATCATCATCCAGCCTCAAGAGTCCACTGCTGAACATAGGCCTCTTTCTCGTGTTTCCAACCCCGTCTATCTTCCGCCGCTCTTATTTTTCACTATAATACGTCTTAATGCATCTGCTTCGGTTATTTTACTTTTTCGTACATTTCTAGGTTTTGTAACGACCGAACCTGTAGTTTTGTATCTTCTGACTATATTTCTTACACTATAGCGTGACAATTGCAACATATTCGCGATTTCCGAATTTCATTTCCCAGAATTAAAAAATCTAGTAATGATTAAACAAGTTTTCTCATCGATAACTTTACCTCGACTCATTGTACAATTTACAAACGGCAAAAAGCTTTACAGTACTACAAAATACATTTGACACATTAACTGACAATATTATTTAATTACCGTTTAACGTAATTATGAAAAAATCAACGTATGTTAACATAAGTGAATACATAGCCAGAGTTTAGTGAATTTTTTTATTGTTAAAAATAAATAAAAAACCATAAGGGTAATGTTTTTAATAACTATTAATAAAAATGCCATATTAATTAATATGGGAACATATAAAAACATATTCAATACGAACAATATTCGATACGATTGAGATGTAAAAGAGAAAGCGGCACGCGTCTTGAAGGACATTATAGAAGAAGGCTTCCAGCAGTTTTGAACAATCAAAGATTCGCATTTTAGGGATAAAGCAGATGTGCATTTTGAATATGATAATAAGTAATGACGTATAAAGAGAAAATAAACTGTTTTACAGCGTCAGTTTCGTTATTTAATAGCCATACCTTGTATAGATATAAATATATAACACATTATCTAAAATAGCCCCTGGGGATGCATATATAGTTGATGTTATTCAATGTGTTACATATTTATTCTACAAACACTTTTATAGTGACACATATTTGCGTTTCCAAGATAATCACAAGGTCATGATGATAAATACATTTTTGTAGTTATTGTGTAAGATAACAGGAGCGGCTTTATCAGTGAATCCCTTTCATATAGCATTTAACAAAAGCGTTTTAGTTTCTAAACTATGTTATTCCTAAAATAAACTTTTATCCAATAAATTGAATAATTAATTACAAAAGCATTAGCTGGTCCAAATTTAAGCAGCCCATGAACTGGTATAAGGCAAAATACAATCTGTTAATTCTGTGAAATAAAAGCTCATAGATTTGGGGCTTACGCAGTGATTAACAGAGGTAATCGGTTTATTATGCTGTGATCGGTGGTTAGAGAACATCCATAAACTACGTCATAAAATATTTTGACTTTTTAATACCCTCCCACTCCTTCGTCGTGTATTTCATATTGGCCAACATTATAGTTGGTATATCAGAGTCACTGCAGCGAACGTTTTTCAAACATTCATTTATTTATTTTATTATTTATTTATTATTTAAACACCTATTTATTAAAGAAATAATCTGAAAAATAGACGCATACACCAGGAACAAGTGATACTAAAAAATTATATTTTAAAAAATGTTTTTTTTTTTAAATTTTACACTATATGCCCCGTTTTGAGTGTCAGACAAGTTATGAAATGTATTCAACATTTAATTTAAAAGAGAAATATGTTTGAAAACAAAACATGTTATTAATCGTTTTAGAGATGTCGTGAGAAGGGCATGTTTGACGCGTCAGACTGGAAAAGGGCTTGCTCTTGGTGTCAGACAATAATAGAACCGTTAGTTTCCTCGTTAAAGCAAGGCATACAGAAAAATTAGCTGGTTATTTATCATTGTTGCACTGACCGTTTATCGGTCATGTTTGGGGGGGGGTGGACACCCTTACCGTCCCATATATGACGTCAGACAATATTATTTCCTTTTATTATTCACTGAGATCAAGCCATTCAATAAATATGGCAAGAGTATATATCATTTTTGCACATGTTGTGAAACGGTCATGTTTCGGAAAATATAGGGGGAAAACGCCCCCGAACCAAAAAAAGTCAGAGGAAAACTGTGGCAGACTTGGTCTAAGGAAGCCGTACAAGAAGTTTCAAGAGAGTATAAATCTCTTTAAAATTTGCCGGCGGGCACTCTAACTATTAGTTTAATTGAAAAGGGATTACAAATTTTAGAAAATATAGACTACGACGAATAGCGCATTTCTTCTAAAGAACAAAGAATGAAAAACTTATTAGGCTAAACTACATTTGAGGAAATTTTGCGAAAGAAAAACAAATTTGAATTATGTTTGATAATATGTAATGATAATTTGATAATTTGAATCTAACTACTGTGTTATGAATCTTTATACAATAAAATATCTTCGATGGGCAATTTTATATTTGTAGGTCCTAAACTTTTAATAAAAATTTTTTGTTTAAATTTCTATTTTTTAGCTTTCGGTCTCGATTAAAAATAATTTATGTATATACATACATATACGAAATTATACCCCGACTTAATGCGAATTCGACTTACGCGGTTATTGCTGGGTCCCACCTATCGTGTAAGTTCGGGGTATTACTGTGTTTGATCTACTCGGTGTTAGATCAAACTACTTGAGATACAATAGAAGTGTATATATACAGTTATAGATAAATTCCCAGAGAAAAAAATACTTCCAAACTCTTAGACGACGCAATCAAAAGTCAGTCTAATCTCTTAGACTACCAAATGAAAAATATTTCTTTCTCAAATTGGACCACCTATCCCCTAGAACAGAATAATCCCCGCTTAAAGAATTCCTTCTTAATAAGAACCGACTTATTTTCATTGTCGGCGCAAACATATAAACATGACGGTATTTTTTAAAAATGGAAACAAAACGCAAATAACTGTACAATATTGGAGGAAAGGTTCTCTTTGAAGTAAAGTAGCCGCTTCCTTGACTAAAGTTCCACAAGTCAGATAAAGATAGCTATTTGTAAGAAGTTTAAACAATTTTATTACTATCTTCCAGTGCTATAAAAAAAGGCCTAAATGTTCTTTGTTCCCAAAAAATGACGACAAAGCCGGTTGCTCTCAAATTTCTAACAAAGCAGCCATAATGTAATCTGCATGTTTCAGTACTTCTTTTAGGGAATAAAAAAGCTGAAAGATATACGAAGAATTATGTCTATAAAGATACAGAATTCTAAAGTACCGTTCCATTCTCATAAAAGACTACATCGGCACCTCTCATACTAAATAGATTAAGGTTATAAGATTAAGATTAAGATAATAGATTAATAATAAGACCTATATAAAATATGAGGTTCTAGGTCTACTTTCAAAACATCGTTATTCGTTTCGGCGAGGCGCAAAAGGGAAATTTTTGGATACGGATTTTGGATACGAAAGTTTTGGCACACTGTAGCTGTGGTAATTGCAAAGGGTTTTTAAAATTAATCTTAATGTACTATATAATAATTAGTTACTAATGTAATTATAAAAAAAAATGTTGGAAAGGTACAACCCTGACGAACTCATTTGGGATTGTCAAATGGTTTAGTCGATACCTATAGGCCTCACGCTTTTTAGGAAAAGTGGCAAAAATTACTTTGTAATGACTAGAGCAGTAAATGTCGGCAGAAAAAAAAAACAAAAAGTAACTGGCTAGTTAACTCTGATTAGGATTTTAGTAACATTTTTGAATTAAATGTCTTTTAATGGACGCTTCTTGTTTTTAAAAAATGCCACATTGTCTTCAACTTTTGTTGGTCACCTTTTATGACACACATTTTGCCAAATTTAAATTTTGTCCAAATTTTGTGTCAGTCAAAAATTTATTTTTATGTATTACTCTATATATCTTGTTGTTTTTAGGCCAATTTTTTAGTTTGTTAATTATGACATTGTTTAGTGCCATTCCTTATATAAATCCATGGTACTTCATGTTGTCATCTATACCTTCAATGTTAACTGGCGGATTTGCAGCATTTTTAGTGACAATATTGTCTTACATTTCTGATATTAGCACTGACGAAACTAGGGGGATGAGGTAAATAAATGCAAATTGTTCAACGTCTACTTATAAATAACCGTGCCCACACGTTAAAATAAATTGCTAGACAAAAAACTTAGATATCTGTATATTTTCAACTTTAACGCTAATAATATAGGCCGAAACTTTAAAATAAATACAAATAAATTCAACGTTCTTTCCAATATAACTCACCTTTAAATTTAGTCGACTATCAAAGGTTCGTCATACCTTGGTATGAACGTCAATGAAAATTGCGACCATTCCCTAGAAATAAAATGCAGGATAGAGAAAGCAAGATCTGCATTTCAAAAAATGGCTAAGTTGTTCAAATGCCATGATTTTATCAATACCCATAAAATCAGGTTACTACGATGTTACATCATTTCTATACTAATGTACGGAGTTGAGTCGTAGACACTCACAGACGTTACCTCCAAGAAAATTGAGGCTTTCGAAATGTGGCTTTATCGTCGAATCCTGAAGATATCCTATACCGACCACGTTAATAATCAGGATGTTTTATTAAGAATGCAAAAAGGAAAAGAGTTGTTAACCACAATAAAAACAGCCAAAATCGAATACATCGGCCACATCATGAGGAACAGCGAAAGATATGGGTTGCTGCAATATATTCTACAAGGAAAATGAGGACCAGGAAGGCGAAAGATTTCCTGGCTGAAAAATCTATGTACTTGGTTCAAAACAACAACCACAAATCTTTTCAGAGCAGCGGTTTGCAAAATGCAGATTGCCATGATGGTCGCCAACATCTGAAACGGATAGGCACTGCAAGAAGAAGACGATCAAAAGTTTACGATTTTCTTATTACAATGGAATTATTTTCCGTGTGCGCATTACACGAGTACTTTGAATAAACGAGGTTGCGCGCTGCCCGCGCATCGGATAAAAATCGCCATAACTTTTTTATCATTAAATTTGAAAATCTGGAACTTTCCAGAAATCTTAAATTTTTTTTAAATCTGAAAAATCTGAACCTGAACTCATTGAAAAGTCTAGAGAATTTCAAGTACCTATGATTATATGCTTCATTTACTACCAAAAGGCATTTGATTGTGTAAGCTGGATAAATCTAAAAAACACTGGATGACAGAAGAAATACTATTACTGATGGAAGAAAGAAGGAAATATAAAGGAAAAGATCTACAGAAGTATAAAGAAATACAACGAATAATTAAGGAAAAAATCAAAACAGCTAAGGAAATCTATTTGATGAAGCAATGTAAAGAGATAGAAGAACTATAAACAAAATATGATATGAGAAATATGCACAAAAAAATTAGAGAAGTGACTGGAATGGGTCGAAATAGACAGCAAGGATACATAAAAGACAAAAAAGGAGTACTACTAGTATATTTACCAGAGAAGTTAAGGCGATGGGAGGAGTACGTTAGAGAACTTTACCAAGATGAAAGAGGTGAAATGCAAAAAAATACAAGAATTAAATCCTTTAGAGATACAGAAGATCACGATAGATGAAATCAAATATGCTATCAAAAACTCTAAAGACAATAAGGCAGCTGGATTAGATGAAATACCAGTAGAACTGTTAAAACTAGTGGAAGAGGATAACTTGGAAGTATTGGCAGATTTATTCAACACGGTGTACGATACGGGAATAATACCACAAGAGGGGATGGCTGAAGTCAGCATTTATAACCATCCCTAAAAAACAAGCAGCAAAGAGTGCTCTGATTATCGAACACTGAGCCTCATGAGTCATACTTTAAAAGTTCTGCTAAAAATAATACATAAGAGAATATACGAAAGGCTAGAGGAGGATATTAGCGAGACGCAGTTCGGGTTTCGGGTTCGGGAAATGGAATGGGTACTCGAGAAGTACTATTTGCCATCAACATATTGATTCAGCGATGTCGGGATGTAAATGTTGATCTAAACTTGTGCTTCGTTGACTACGAAAAAGCTTTCGATAAAGTAAGACATGAAAAACTAATATCAATACTTATGAACAAGCGCATTGACAGTAAAATCATAAATATAGTGCAAACATTATATTGGAACCAAAGTGCCATAGTTCAAATTGATGGGCAACACTTAGAAGAAATGAGGATCTGTAGGGGAGTTAGACAGGGATGTGTTTTATCACCACTTTTGTTTAACTTATATTCTGAAGCAATTTTCCAAAACACACTCAATAATATCGAAGCGGGAGTCACCGTTAACGGAAAATTAATTAATAATTTAAGATATGCAGACGACACTGTGATCATAGCAACGAGTATAGAGGATCTACAACATCTTATCGAAAGTTTGAGTATAAATAGTGCTGAGATGGGAATTACTATAAACGCTAAAAAAACGAAGTACATGCTAATTACAAAAAGGCCACAAAATATACATCACCTATTCACAATAAATGGTAACGTGATAGAACAAGTAGAAAAATATCAGTATTTGGGAACTTTGATCAATGAAACCAATGATCATACTGTAGAAATAAACAGGCGAATAGAGATTGCCAGATCAGCATTTATACGAATAAAGCCACTCCTAACGTGCAAAAATCTAAATTTGAAGATCAGACGTATCTACGTACCATTCACTGTTATATATTTTCAATATTATTATATGGAGCTGAGACTTGGAGAAAAAATGTAATTTAAAAAGAATCGAGGCCTTCGAACTCTGGTTATATCGCAGAGTATTAAAAATATCATGGACTGATAGAATTACAAATAAAGTACTGGAGAGGGTTGGTAAAGAAACAGGACTAATCACCACTATACAAACCAGAAAACTGGAATACCTAGTCCACGTGATGAGGGGACCAAAATATGAAATTTTGAGACTGATAATACAGGGAAAGATTCAAGGAAGAAGATCTGTTTGCCGAAGGCAGAACTCATGGTTAAAGAATCTACGTGATTGGTACCAATGCAGATCGATTGATTTGTTTAGAGCAGCAAGTTCTAAAATAAAAATAGCCATTATGATTGCCAACCTCCGTAGGGAGACGGCACTCTAAGAAGAAGAACCAGTCCAATATAGCAACAGTACGACTAGATCAGATCAGATGAATCATCAATTCAAGACCGAGAGAGGTGTTAGACAAGGATGCATGTTGTCACCTGCTTATTCAACATTTATGGTGAACATATCATGAGGATGGCTTTAGATGGATGGGCCAGTGGCTGGTAGGAAACTCTCCAATTTAAGATTTGCCGATGACACTACACTTAAAGCATGAAATGAGCAAGAAATGTTTAATCTCCTGAGAAGAGTTGAGTACGAAAGTAATAAAGTTGGTCTGAAAATCAATAAAGCTAATACAAAAATAATGGTGGTCGACAAATTCCATACTATTCAAATGACTAATATGTTACAGGAATACCAGATAGTGGACAGTTTTGTCTATCTCGGGTTTAGTATAATTAACGATGGAAACTGTGAAGCAGAACTTTGGAGACGTATTGGTATGACAAAAAATGCGATAAGTCGCCTAACTAAAGTTTGGAAAAACGATCTCTCAATATATCAATATGAGACCGGTGAATGCCCTTGTATTCTCAACATCTTTATACGAGGCAGAGACTTGGACTCGTGCTGGAGAAGAATGCTGCTGCGCATACCTTGGACAGTTCATAGGACAAACGTATCCATTCTAAACCAACTCGAGATTAAAAAAAGGCAGTCACCAATATGTCTGCAACGTATTCTGCAATTTTTCGATCACTTGCTTCGCAGAGGTGACGATAGTTTTGAGAGATTAATTGTTTCTGGAAACGTTCCGGGGAGAAGATTAAGAGGACGATCACCAACTAGATGGTCCAACCAAATTAAGAATTCAACTGGAAACTTATTCTGCGAAGCTCTTAGAGCAGCTGAAGATAGAGACCAATGGAGAAAAATTGTTAGGAATATTGGTAGAAATAACGATCCTCAGTAATGGGGAAACGACAAGAGAGAGAGAACAAAATAAATGGAAAATTGAAGTGAATGAACGTCCAAAAAAAGCAGATGAAATGATAACTGGAAAATAATTCATGGACCTACCAAAAACACGTAGTTCCAGGGTGTAAATAATTACTTACAATGTTTTACCATTGAAATACTTTAATTATTATTAAAAAAATTTTCTGACCCAAATAGTCTTTTTACTCTACATTACAAATGTTCTACGAATATTTTGTACACAATTGCGAATATAATGTGTTTAACTATCTAGGTTTTATGCCTAGCAGTTTAGTTTGAGAAGGGTTCTTAGAAAATGTAACAAATAATGTGAATGTTTTAACTAACTTTAAGAAAATAATGAAACAGTAGTTTTGGTTTTTTATTTATTAGCATTAGAAGTACTACTGTATTTTTGTCCGCGCATAATATAACGTCTGCTAATGTGTATATGAACCCTTCGTGTATGTTTACAGAATGGCTATGATGGAAGGGATGTTAGGAGCGGGCATGTTATTTGGTAGTCTTTGTAGTTCCTATCTGTATTATGCAACTAACTACCCGTCCATGTATGGTATCGCAGCTGGAATAATAGGATTAAACATAATTTATATTTATTTTTTTTTGTCCGAGTCTTTGGAAAATATCGAACATGAAGTAAGTTATTTGTAGGTTATAATAATTAGGAATTTATTAACCCTTTTTCAAACTGTTTTTTAACCGTACTCTTGATACTTAACCAATTTAATTCTTAACTTAATAGTCCAGTCGTCAGAGATTTGACCCATAGAAACCATACGAACAACCTGAATTTTGCAAAGAACATTAATTTTGGGACCACAAAAAAGGTGCAAAAAAGTTTACCACTTTAACCTTAAACTTCTCCCTAAAAACCTCCTCGTAGGGGGGTAAAAACGCAAAAAAAATCGATTTACCAAGAAAGTGTACGCTGTAGAGAAAAATGTTTCAAATAAAAAATGTAGCTGAGATAATTTTAAACAAAAATGTTTATTAGCACTTTTTGTGTAGAAAAAACCGTTCTCTTAGAAACAACGCTTGAAGCGACCGTCGGTTTTGAATGTCAGTTACACGCGCGAAATCAATGTTTAATAAAATTTGTATCTGTTTAATAATATTTGTAATTTTGAGTTGTGGCAACAAATATGAGGCATTTGAAATATAACTAAAAAACGCAGAGTTTAATGTTTTACATTAAAAACGATCGTACATCACGGAAAATGCATCCAAGAAGACGGTTTTGGGTGTGGATTATAGCAGTAGTTTGGCTCTTTTGAAAAACGTACTAGTGTAATTGAAAAAAAGTTTTAAATGTTTTAGATCATTTGTTATGAGTAAGTTTAAATTTAGCGTTTTTTAAGCATTTTTTAAATGCCTCACATTTCTTGCCAAAACTCAAAACTTCAATTTCATGCTATAGGTTTTAAATGTTAGGCTCTATTAATCAAAACTTTATAGTGGTCAGTCAATGAAAGGCATATATTGTATGATCTCATGAGATCTATTGAAAATCGGGCCATGTTTATATATTTAACATCTTTATAAAATTTGAGTTTATCTGCGCCAAAATACAAAAATTGCATACAACAGCTGAACTCTAAACCTCTAAAATGCATCTTGATATTTGTCGATAGGACACTCGAATCAAAAGATATTGAATTTTTACCGTCGAGCTGATACAAATTTTATTGAACATTGATTTCGCGCGCGTAACTGACATGAAATATGCGGACTTTCGGAGACCCATTGGAAAAGACAAGGACACTTCCGAACGGTAGATCATGTTGTATACATATCGGGAACAAATAACACAGGAAGAAATGGTATTGCAAATGGTGTTGCAATTATGGTGACTAAAAAAGTTTCACAATACGTATATGATTATCAACCGATAAATGATAGACTTATAAAAATAACCTTACTAGTACCTATCACCAAACAAAATGCACATTCTTCAGGTCTATATGCCAACCTCAGACGCGTTAGATAATGAAATATACTCGTACACTTCGTTTTTTGAAGACACAATAAGAAATATTCCATCTAAAGAACCACTCATAATCATGGGCGATTTTAAAGCTTAAGGTAGGAGAAACAAGAAATAATCACATCCAACATGTAGGAAATTATGGGTTAGGTTTTAGAAACAGCCGAGGGAACGTTTAATAGATTTTGCATCCAAAAACAGTTTGGAAATTGTAAACACAATGTTCAAACATCGTGCCCGTCGTTTATCGACGTGGACCAGCCCACATAGAGAATACAAGAACCAAATCGACTACATATTGATTAGAGACAGATGAAAGACATGTTTTACAAACGTAAAAACTACACCAAGAGCTGAATGTGGATCCGATTATAAATTGTTATGGGCTTGCTTCAAGATGAAGCTAAAAAGAACAATGCCGCACCAAAATCAAAACAGGCTGGAGATTTCAAATCCGAAAACATTTAGAGGTGCATTAAAGGAAACTAGTATGTTGAACAAACAAGACAACCCAGAAGAAATGTGGAAAGGTTTCAGAAATGCCATAGAAACCTATGTAAAAAGAACCAGAACCCAAAAAAAGATCATCAAGAGAAAACACTGGATGACAGACAGAACGCTGCAACTTCTCGAAGAGCGAAGGATAATTAAATCTCTCATATATCAAAACGACAGCAACAAAACCAAATTATCAAGGTTAACTAGAGATATTAAAAGAGGATGTAGGGTAGATAAAAATAAACATATACATGAAGAATGCGAAGAACTAGAGAGGCATGCAAACCAGTACGAATTCCATGAGCTATATCAAAAAGTCCGATATCTATCCAGGGAATTTAAACCAATCACACAAACAATAATGGACCAAAACCAACATATTATAAGTGACAAGAGAGAGAGAGAGAGAGAGAGAGAGAGAGAGAGAGAGAGAGAGAGAGAGAGAGAGAGAGAGAGAGAGAGAGAGAGAGAGAGAGAGAGAGAGAGAGAGAGAGAGAGAGAGAGAGAGAGAGAGAGAGAGAGAGAGAGAGAGAGAGAGAGAGAGAGAGAGAGAGAGAGAGAGAGAGAGAGAGAGAGAGAGAGAGAGAGAGAGAGAGAGAGAGAGAGAGAGAGAGAGAGAGAGAGAGAGAGAGAGAGAGAGAGAGAGAGAGAGAGAGAGAGAGAGAGAGAGAGAGAGAGAGAGAGAGAGAGAGAGAGAGAGAGAGAGGAGAGAGAGAGAGAGAGAGAGAGAGAGAGAGAGAGAGAGAGAGAGAGAGAGAGAGAGAGAGAGAGAGAGAGAGAGAGAGAGAGAGAGAGAGAGAGAGAGAGAGAGAGAGAGAGAGAGAGAGAGAGAGAGAGAGAGAGAGAGAGAGAGAGAGAGAGAGAGAGAGAGAGAGAGAGAGAGAGAGAGAGAGAGAGAGAGAGAGAGAGAGAGAGAGAGAGAGAGAGAGAGAGAGAGAGAGAGAGAGAGAGAGAGAGAGAGAGAGAGAGAGAGAGAGAGAGAGAGAGAGAGAGAGAGAGAGAGAGAGAGAGAGAGAGAGAGAGAGAGAGAGAGAGAGAGAGAGAGAGAGAGAGAGAGAGAGAGAGAGAGAGAGAGAGAGAGAGAGAGAGAGAGAGAGAGAGAGAGAGAGAGAGAGAGAGAGAGAGAGAGAGAGAGAGAGAGAGAGAGAGAGCTGATTTCGCTACCAGTGATTTAATCAGTGGTAATTACCGTTCCTTGCCAACTTCGATAACCGTGATAAACAAGATATATCGGTTATCAATTCTATCACCATCTCACAAAACATGTTTATATAATAAATATTATGATCTTATGGGTGAACGTAACGGTAATGGTGATTAAGTAGCCTGGTAAGTGGCTATGGGCGATATAGTAAGTAGTACTGGTTACCTGACTGCTGTTAATAAGTAAATGGAGTTATATCTTTATTAAATTTTAGTTATTTTATTTCCAGATTTTATTAACATTATATATTTTTATAGAAAAGTTGGAAGGATATTTTCAAACCCTCAGACCTCAAAGGAATGGCTCACGTAATGACCAAACCAAGAGAAAACTTTAACAGAGCGATAATTTTATTAATGACTGTGATTATGGTATTGTATATTTTCATATCCAACGGTGATGGTAAAACATATCTTTTTTTAATGGGAAAATTCAACTGGAACTTGCAGCATTACACTATTTTTAACAGTGTAACTATCATAATCTTCGTTATCGGTACACTAGGTGGTACCTACCTTTTCAAAAAGTTGGCGGTAACCGAATCAGTCGTTATTTTATTAGGTTTGATGTGTGCATTCAACGGTGACTTAGTACGAGGACTTGCAACAGAAGATTTTCATATTTATTTTGGTAAGTAAAACTTACATATTACTAAAAGCAGATTATCTTGTACATTTCTCGAACTCATCATCATTTTCTTTGCTTTTATCCCCATGCGGGGTCGCATCATTTTTATATAAGTTTCTATCTTGGGTGATATCGATATCAATTCCCTTGTCCTGCAAAAGCGTCCCCCAGATCTTCTTTGGTCTTCTCTCCTACTTCTTCCAAGAACACGCAGATCAGCAATTCTTCATATTCACTTCTCGATTTTAAACATGGCCAAACCCACTTAATTTATGATCTCTTATTTTAGCATCAATTGGTGCCACTTCTAGACTTCCTCTTATTCTTGATTTTGTTCTTTTTGTCACTGCACTTATCCATCTAAACATTCCCATTTCCGCCACATGCATTGGTTGTTCCTCTTTCTTTGTAATTGCCCAACATTTAGTTCCATACATCATATCTGGCGTTATGGCTGTTGTGTGCGACACCACTCCCTTCCTTCCACTTCATCCACCCAATCCTACCTCTGTTGCGCGTTTCTCCATTTTGATTGCGAAATCTCCATTTCTCTGTAATACTGAATGTAGATGCTAAAAACTATTACTTTTCATAATCATTTCACCATCCAAAGATATCATTTTGTTTGTAGCAACTCCATCTTTAAATGAACATTCCAAATACTCTATTTTTGTCTTACCAAGTTTTAAACATTTTTCCTTAAAAGTTTGTCTCCACTGTTCCCGTTTTTGTTCACTATTTCCTACTTAGTTAGTTAGAGTTAACACCATAAAAAAACAGAAAATTGGCTTACTTCGGCCACATCATGCGTAATGATAAATACCGACTTCTACAGTTGATTCTACAAGGCAATATTGAGGGTAAGAGAGGCTCTGGATATAGACGTATATCCTGGCTGGTCAATCTTAGGAAGTGGACTGGTCTAACGTCAACTGATCTATTTCGAGTTGCTGTGAATAGAATAAGATGAGTTAATGTGGTCGTCAACATCTCTAGAAGATAGGCACATTTAGAGGAAGAAGATTTCCTACTTGTACTTCGCTTTCACTATTTTCTACTATACTAAAGCAGTTTTTACAAGACGATTTTTTAGCAACATCGCATTTAAAGCTACGAAAGGATATTCCCCCTATCAACTTTGCAGTGGCGTACCAAAATAAAATTTTAATTATTTATTTAAATACATACGTAATTACCTAAAAATTAAATCTAAGACCGATATAATTATTAAATTATTATATGTGTCTTGACGGATTAAGTAAAAGCCATCTAGGAAGAGAGGTTAGTAATTAAGCCATGATCAATGGGCATCAAACAATTTTTAAAATTTAATTTCAATCATTTAAAAAGTAAATTATATAATTTCATATGTTTTATTACTGTTCTGAAGCTATTTTCTTGTGGCATTTTTAAGTAATTACCATTTAAATGAGAATAAGCCACAATTTAAGGTTAAAGTAAGTTTATTGACGTCTCAATTTCCACTTCAGGAATCATTCTCAAAATACAAACAGTAGTAAATTAAACAAATTTTATTTCTTTCTTAATAAAGAAACAAAATTTGTTTAATTTACTACTGTTTGTATTTTGAGAAGGATTTCCGAAGTGGATATTAAAACGTCAATAAACGTACTTTAACCTTTAATTGTGGCTTATTCCCATTTAAATAGTAATTATGTATATTTTATGTTCCGTAAGAAAATTTGATTTTGTTCCGTTAAAAGCAAATGAAATGAATATAATATTTATGTATAATTTATTACAACACACAATAAAATTTATTTTGTTAATGACATTTTTAATATAGAAATCATTCAGTTTACTTTGTTATACTATAACTCTCCATATAATATAATCTCTCTCCTATGGCGCTACAGCCCACGTTAGGCCCTGTTCTCTCCCAGCATCCTCCTCCAAGCACCCCTTTCCATGGCTATTCTCCTCTAGTTATCCACCCTCATTATCTCTTTAGCATCGGTTCTTACTTCGTCTATCCACCGCTTCCTTGGATTTTATATTGACCGACGTCCCATCATAGTTCCACTAAGCGTTCTAAGCTCCTACTAGGTGATCTATTATTATCCAAAAGCCCAAAATAAGAGGAAAAGAGTAACGACTAGGGAATATATCAAAGATACTTGATGTTTATGAAACTATGTTTTCATAAAAATAGACACTTCCTCTGTCAAACTAACCTAAAATAAATATAAAAAATAGAAGAGACATGGAAACCGTAGTAATAGGTTTAGACAAAAAGAAAAAGAAAATCAAATTAATAATGTCAATAATTTTACAACACAATACTCACAAATGTAAGCCTGTTGAAGATACAACAACTTCATTGTTCTAATGATGTTTGTTATGTTAATTTTTAGTATGTTTTGAAAAAGAGTTAAATAAACTCGAATATACTACGGAAATACGGAATGTAATATATCGTATTCATACAGTGAATTTATTATTTATTTTTATTCTAATAATTTTTGTTTAATTTTGTGACGGATAATGTAGGTTTACCAACTAAACAAAGTTATGCACTTGCAAGAACATATTGTTATTATAAAAATAGAGTTCAAATCACACATGTCATTTAAAAAGTGATTTATGTTATCTAAATTACTGTTATGGACAAAGAAATATGTGCTACAGCCGCGATATCTGTGAATATCGTATTACCATAAAATTCCACCATTAAAATTAGGCAATAAGTTAAACACTGAGATTGCAAAATTTTTTGGGCAAAACTTTGCAAAAACTTTAAATAACACTTTTAAGGATAATGATCTTCTTCCTTGATTACATGAGCTACGGCATTAGCCCAATCTTCTTTTCGTATCCATTCCATTGCGAATTCCAACAAACGTTGGACATCAGAAATTTTATATGTCACGTTTTCACGATCTATGTAACCCTTTATTTGAGCCCAGATTAATTATGTCGGATTCAACTCGCAATGGTAAGGGGGAAGTCTCAAAATAGTAATGCCTTTAGCACGTGCCATTGTATCTACAACATGCTGGCGATATCTGTCACGATGCTGTCTAATTACATTTATAAGCTCATTCTTAACCATATCCTTGGAAAATGGAATTCCTTTTTGTCTTAACTAACTCTGCATATTTGCTTTTCTGGTGGCCATAGTTGGCAGATGTTTTATTAATCGACTATGATAAGAAGCGTTATCCATCACTATTATGGAATTAGGCTCGACTCGTGAAAGAAGGGATTGGAACCTTTTTTCAAAACGTTGGGCGTCCTTGTCTTCATGGTAATCCCCCGTTTTTTTAGATAAAAAAATTAGTGCACCATCTTCTAAAAATCCACTCTCACTACCTATATGGGCTCAATTATTCGTTGCTCTTTACTCGTTGGTCTTCTTAACCCTGTTGATAAACCATCCACAAATGCTTGACGATAACTCGTTATAGTAGTATCTTGCCAGATCTTAGATACTGTGTGACCAGCATTTACCCACGTTTCGTCCAGATAATAAATCTTTTTGTGCACAGAATGAATAGAACGAAGATATCTTTTGGCAAGAATTTGGAAGACAGATTTACGGGATCTTTTGGCATACATAAATTTTAAATCTTCTTTTATTATTGTCCTTAACGTCTTTTTGCTCATTTTTGGAATCAGACCATTCTCCATTACCTTTGTCCTAATGGATTCGAGGGTTGGCGCTTTATTCTCAAAAAAGAAAGAATGAATAGTGGTATTTTTCTGGTACTCTTCCAATTTAATTTTTTTCTACCACGATAATGTACTTTGGAGCTTGCACAATCCCAGTCACCTTTTTTTCACGTACAATGCGTTCTATTGTCGACACGGATACTCCCGTTAAAAATGAACACTGAGCTAAAGTTTCTACTGTACGAAGTGTATTTTTTAAATTTTTATACACTCTACAGACAATCTGCTTTTCTTCTACCGACATAAACTTCCGTTTTCTTTGTACATTACTTGGACCCGCTACGTCATCCATCTTAATGCTCTAAAAAGAATAAACATCAATCACAATATTCTGCTATGTATTTATTGTTTACTTACCACGAAAACTATTTTAAAATTAATTAATAATAATAAAGTCTATTTAAAAACTATATAAAAGTCACATGCACAAGAAACAGAACACACTCCGCCTCTGGACATATAAGAATGTGAAACGAATCAAATATATCATCTCATTACTATTTTTTCCAAGGACGTAAATATATAGCCAAGCGAAATGTTGATAAGTTTACCGATGTTTTAAAATATTTAACTGAATTGGTCCAACTATACGTTCGAAAAACGAACCGGTATGCACAATTTATATTGTTACGTGGGCAAATGTTATGATATTATTTCGTATATTTTACTTATTTACATTGTCGAAGCATACACAATAAAAAACGACCCGGTAAAATTTTACTCCCGATATTTAGCATTGTTGCCGTTAGCTCTCAGTTAAATTTGTAAATGAGACATCTTTAATTGAAATCTGTGTGACTATAACACTACATCATCAGCATACATTAGGCACCAGGTAATGTACTCTGTAGCATCGCTCTTATATGATCCAACACTAATGGGAATAATAATATAGGACTGCATCAACCGAGCCCTAGGTGCAATTCTACTTTCAGTTGAAATTGATTAGTTTCTCCCACACCTGTCCTAATACTAGTTGTTACTTTCTTTTCACATGTCTCTCATTCCGCATTTCTAAGACTATATTTGTACAAATTGAAGTTAATAAGGATTAATGTTGTGTTTCTTCAATTTACACGATAGCGAAATTCACACTGAGAGTGCAGTACGGTTAAGATAGGAATTCGCATTTGCCGGTTTTCAAGCCATGTGCTTGGCGGAACACACACATCCAAGAAGTTGTCACATACAGAACTTTACATTAGTAGAAAATTGATAAAAAAATCATTGGACAGGATATTTGTAAAAAAATTTAGAAGAAAAATAGGAAAATCAAACGTTACAAACTATTAGTGTTTAGAAAAGATGTATATGAAAATTATTTTATGATGATGATGGCGATCATTAAGTATTTTTCCGTTTTTTTTTTGTTTTAGCGGCTGGACTAAAATTTATTTCTGGAATAATAAGCCCACAATGTAGAACCCTAATCTCGAAATTAGTACCTGTTGACGAAATAGCCAAAGTATTTGCTTTGATAATGGTTGTTGAATTTGTTGTTAGTATAGGAGCTTCGCCATTTTATACTTTGATTTACAATGCCACGGTCGATACTGATCCTGGGTTTTATAATTTTGTATCTGCTGGGCTCTTCGGCGTCGATATTATTATAATTCTGTAAGTATATTTTATACAATTATCAAATGATTGTTGACTTCCGACCTGGAAAACCATCAAACTCTTTGATGGTTTTCAACTATATGGACTACTATTTAGATTTACTTATATAGTATTTTAGTACAGTTGAAGAAAGACAGAGCCAGATCTGGATAATTCGAGCCCTAAATCACGAATTGTCTGGACGGCAACATTTGATTTGCGTATAAAGGTATTGACATGTAAAAATAAAATATACAAAAAAATTTTTGGTATTATCTCGGCAAATTATTCATGTATTTGAACTTTATAAAAATTCAACTTAACCGTCTTTTCATAACACAATAGTTTCACAATAAAAAAATCGTTCCCAACATAATAAAAAAAATGTGCAGGCAAAAAACATTTTCGGACTTGGGCCTTTGTTTATAAAAAAACATAGCCGATTAGACAGTACCTCAATAGGTAGTTTTAATTAACCACCTATGTCCTCCTAGGACTTCAGGTTACGTATCCTAAATTTTTTCATTTCTAGACTAGGTTATAAGTTTCCAAAACGACAAGTACAGTCACTGGTCTTCCCGATTGGTCTTTATGTTCAATGTACAATTTACCTCTTTTGAATCTTGTAATCGAATTTTGCACATTCGCATATGAAGGTTGTTAAACATAGCTTCGTAAATCTACTTGCCTCTTCAAATTTTATGTATACTTCCAGTTATTTAATTTATTTATCCCAAAAAACTTTTCTTTGCAATAACTTTGCAATTTTTGAAGAACAGCTTATATACCGGCGTTGTATTACTTTTTCTCTATAGTAAAATGCTGACGCGAATACGGAACTAGTGCAACGAGAAACCCCATCGCGTTGCACTAGTTCCGGGTAGCGTTACGAAATAGCGTTTCTTTACATCGATTCACTACTCTCCATCAATTCTTTTCTAATCATATATTTATTCTTAGCAGATTTAAAATGTTTTATACTAAGTTAGTTCTTTTTTCAAATCGGCGATATCGAAAAATGAAATGTAAACATCAAACTCATGCTGATGGAGTTTGACGTTTCTTTTTGTAAATTTTATGTACTAATTCTGTACACTACGAATAACTTTTAAACTAAGTGATAAATCACTCTGAAATTTTAACTACATTTTTAAAACTACACTCACCGGCACGAAAAAAGGAGCACTAGCATTTTTAAAATAAAATCTTAAAACTTTAATGTTCTTTAAACTTTTATTATTATAACGTAAACACAAACGAAACAAACTGTTTTAAGTAATTTATAATAAAAATTTAACTTTTGGACAAAGAACGGTTTCAGTAGATAACAATTTAAAATTAAGAAAAAAAAGCGTAAGTAAAAGTTTTAACAAAATGACGCCCAATTAATAAAAATCTATGTATAGCCTCCACAACACTATTAAATCCAAGAGCCTAACACGAACATCAAAAATCAGGATATATAAAACAGTAATTAGACCGGTGCTCATGTATGGGTGTGAGACGTGGACGCTGACAAAAGCAACGGAAAGTAAACTCAGATGCTTTGAGAGAAAAATCATCAGAAAGATCTTCGGTCCCTATCACGATCTGAATACTAACCAATACCGAATGAGAACAAATGCCGAGGTCAAACAAATGTATAGTGCTAGCGACGTAGTCCAAGAGATTAAATTCCAACGTCTAAGATGGGCTGGTCATGTTCATAGGCTCCCTAATAACCGCCTTACCAAGTTAATCTGGGAAGAAGTCACGACAGGGAGAAGGCCCTTAGGACGTCCACGAATGCGATGGAGAGATAATATATGGTCAGATTTGAGAACAATGGGGCTACCCACTGACTTAAACATCATGGACGACCGTTCGAGATGGAAGCAGGTTGTGCAGTCAGCCAAGACCCACCCCGGGTTGTAGTGCTACCAGAAGAAGAAGAAGAATTAATAAAAACTTTATCTGCCCGGACAAACTTATTTTAATAATAAATGTTTCCTCCACGTGCTTGAATTATTGCCTGAATTGCATGCCTAAAATGAAATGAGAAATGCCCTGTTGAGGAATAAATTCCCATTCCTCTAATAGGGCTTCTTGTAACTGATTGAAGGTTAAAGGGGCAGGAACACGACTTCGTATCCTTCGCCCAAACATGTTCGAGTGGGTTTGCGTCTTGACTTAATGCTGGTCAATTTATTACAGGAATGTTTACTTCATTTGAAAACTGTTGAGTAATTCTCGTACTGTGAGGCTTGGCATTATCATGTATGAGAACAAAGTCATTTCCAACAAAACCAGCATAAGCCACAACAAAATCTTGGAGAATTTCCTCAATGTAGCTGGCAGCTGTTATGGAGTACCTCGGAACGATGTACAATTCTGTACGTGCCTCTAGAGAAATTCCAGCCCACACCATAATTGAGCCCCCTTGATAGTCTACCCTAAGACTGAAGGTACATTCTGCAAAACGCTCATGTGATCTTTCTCACGGCCATCTGGAGACCACAAGGTAAACCTGAACTCATCGGTAAATAAAACGTCACTCCAACTATTTACAGTAAAGTGAGCATGGTTTTTGGCAAACTGAAGTTTGCTTCTCCAAGCCTTCGTCTAATTGTTCGTTCACTTACGTTAGTATTTCGGAAGTACTGAAGTTGATTTCGGATATGTACAACCGTAGAACGACGATCTCGTAGACTTTTTAAGAGGATAAAGCGATCATCACGGGCACTAGTTCTTCGTAGGGGACCGGTTTCAGGTCGTCCAGTGTAAGCTTCTGTTGCCAAGAAACGTATAAAAATACGGTGCACAGTACTATTGGATATTTGATATTTTTGAACAACACATCGCTCACTTCTTCCGTCTTAAAGCAACGCAAGAATATTAGCCGCTGTTTCGGGATTTACGATCATAATTCCTGAGATTAAATAAACGCAATTCAACTTCAAAGTGTGTTTGACACTTTATTTGACTTGATAGTTTACTGACATCAACAAGAATAACAATAGAATACTAACAGCTACCTTTGCACTTTTAAAAATGATAAGAATAGTGTATTCTTTATTTCTGATTTTTTATGTATTTTTTTCGGATAAGCACTTAATTTTTATTAGAAATTACTTAAAACAGTTTGATTCGTTTGTGTTTACGTTATTATATTAATAAACGTCTAAAGAGAATTAAAATTTTAAGATTTTATTTTAAAAATGTAAGTTTTTAAAAAAATCGTGCCGTTGAGTGTATATCACCGAACTTTTCACGCAATATCAAGGTTTTAAGTTTTTTACAATAGTTAAATTTTATTTAATTAATTTAGCACATATTGAAAATTAATAATTCTTTGTTTCTCTGGTTCTCTGTTTTGATTATGGTATCTTTTCGTTTTTTAGAACCTTTTAAAATTGAAGTTCATCGATTTTTTAGGACGTATTTTATTTGTTTACTTTTTTTCAGAATTATAATGTTACTGGAATACAAAACAACTTTACCTTATGAGGAATTAAACAATGAAGAGCCACAGATTACACCAGAAAGTCTTATTGAAACATTTTAAAAATTGTAGCAAAACATTAATTGTCGAATAATTTGTTTATTAAGAACGAACATTTTTAACTTTTAAAAAAACTTTTAACCAAAAAATCACTTGGAAAATACTAGGGTTGTTAATTATTACTAAATGATTGCTGCTGTTTGGTTCCGCCCCGGGAAACTGGTAATGGAATTGAGGTAACACATCAGTTAATTATTGTTATGGCATTTTAGTGGTGCAATCCTTCGAAATAGCGGGCGCAGGCCACTTTGGAAAATTATTTTGAATCGAATCATATGGCAAGTAATACCTCATTTGACAACTCGTGTGCCTTTCAGTATCTTTCTAGATTGTTATCCGTTTCTGCTTTGACCACTATATTATGGTAGTCGTCAGGTTTTATGAAAAACGCATGAACAAATCAATTTATCTTATATTTTCCCGAAAATTGGTAGAACTCATTTGTTTTATTTTTCGACATCTGTCAAAAATGTGACTTCATCGAGAATTTTCCTAAATGACGCGAATACATGTCACGTGATACATTATTTCATAGCTCCTGTGTCATTCAATATGTTTCTAGATTTGGCGACCTTGTAATGTTCAATGGTGACAGTGTAAAAAAAGTATGAATACGTTGATATTCTTCATTGTATTTTTCTTATTTTCATTAATTTGTTTTTTTTACATTTGTCAAATGTATGACGTCAGAGAAATATTTTTTAGCTATATCAGCTATATAACTGTATTAGTTAAAGGCTGAGAGCACGATTTAATTATCTTCGTAGATTTTCGACAAGTCTATGACAACCTAAAGAGAGATAAAATATGTTTTATTATGCGAGAATTAGGTATACCAAGGAAGTTGGTAAAGTTAGTTTAAGCCATCATGACTCACACATAAGTGCAAGTAAGAGTTTAAAATCAACTGTAAGACCCCTTCCAGATAACTAAAAAGCTAAAACAGGCAGATGGACTGGCTCCGACTTTGTTTAATATATGTAAGTATAGAATATATTAACAGAAAAATGTCTGTAAACCAAAAAATATATTGTTTAATAAGATTAAACAGATTATGATGTAAACACAACCGATGTAAACTTTATGGACTAACTCGCAAGAGACATCACAGAACTTTACGTGGAACTATAATTGTGAAATAAATAGATCTAGGCGTCACCGTAAATAAAACTAGAGCCCTAATACAAACCAGTGCGCATACTTACTCATCGAGCAAAAAGACAGAAGAAGGAATGTAAAGGTAGTGGGGGCAATAATATTGTTAGATGGGAAGTGCCATTTTGAAAGGCCACATTAAACAAGGAAAGAGAGTCTCTTTCCTTGTTTAAGAAATAACATTTAGTTGGGTTATGTTATTGTTTGTCAAAACTGTCACATGAAAGCTTATTTATATTGAAGTTTTTTAACAAATGTGTCACATTTTAGACTATTATCGTTATTGTTTAATTAAAACTTTCTCGTCTAAGAGACATTCTGAAAAATATTTTATAGCTACTGTTTTATGACCTTATAAAAAAACATGAAATATTTGCTATAGTTTATTTTTATGAACGAGAGAGTAATTAGCATAATTTTAACTGGGCACAATTTTAACCACTCCATGGGCGTGCTCAAGATTAATTGAAAAATTACTTTGAATAATTGTAAAAATAAATGAATTATTTCAGTGTTATAAAGTGTTATGTGTATGTAAACAAAAGTGACCTCTTTTATCACACACTATATTAGAACTGACTGGCCTACATTAAAAAGAGTTTTAAAAAATTCACATTTTTTTTAATTTTTAAAAATTACAAAAGAGAAAAAGAGTTTTTAAAACCGTCTAAGGTATGTTAAATAGATGAATAAAAATATTAATATAAAACTTACAGCTACTTGTTACAAATCCAAATCAGATTCAGAAGATGAACTTTCAGAACCAATATTTATAATAACTGGCTCGATCATTTTATCAGTAATATTGTCCAGTTTCCCCATTTTTTCCTCTTCTTTAATAGTGTGATTTACTGCCTTTTCTCAGTTTTCAGGTTTTACATTATTTACGGCCTCCAAAAACAACTGTTTAACATCATGAATTTTAAAAGTGGTATTTTTTCTTGAAACTTCACTCTTTATCTGTGCCTATACCAGTTCAATCGGGTTTAATTCACAATGATATGGAGGGGATCTAAGTACTGTCATTCCACGATTCTTGGCAATTTCATCAATTTCGTATTTTTAAAATTTTTCTTTATGAAGGGCACACAACGAATAAAGTTCCTTTCTTATAGATCCGGGATGGTACGTAATATTTTTTGAACTCAGCCAATTCTGCAAGTCTTTTTTTAACCACTTGGTTGTGGGCAATCCTTCTATAAGTCTGGAGTGATAACTTGCATTATCCATTACTATTACACAGTTCTTAGGAAGAAGATCAGCGTTCATGTCTTCATGGTAGTCACCAGTACGAGTTGATTCAAAAGTTAATAAACCACCTTCAACAAAACCGTCTGAACTGCCAATGTGTACTATTATCAGCCTGCGTCCCTTTCCTGATGGTGGGTTTAAACCAGTAGATAAGTTATTTACAAAAGCGTGCCTTTGACTTGTAACAGTTTCATCCTGCCAAAATTTATTTGGTGTATGAACCTCGTTGATCCATGTTTCATCAAGATAAAATATTTTTCTTTTTTGGTTTCTCATTTCCTTTATGGTTCTTAGAAAATGTCTTCTCCATATAACAATATCGCTTCTTTCTAATAAAATAGACTTTCTGGGATTCTTTTTCCAGCGGAAGCCTATTTCTTTTAAAAGTTTCCATAACGTACTTCGACTCATTTCTGGGTAATCCTTATCATCTCGAACTGAGACAAGAACTTTATCCAATGTTGGAAATTCTTGTCTAAAGAAGAATTCATGCACTTTCCGTCGAAGTCCTTCTTTAAAATGATATTCTATTTGAAATTTTGGTTTCTATGGAGCATTACGTGGCATTTGAAAACTACCACATTTCTCTTCTTTAATAACTCTGTAAATCGTAGATTTCCCAACACCAAGTGTACTGCTAACTAACTCAACGGTCTCATCAACACTTTCACATAAACGTTTGTCTGTAAATGATTTAAAACAATTAAATATTAATGTTTTTTCATTAACTGTTAAAGGACCAATTTTTCGGTGTTTACACGGCACTTCCAAATTTTCCATAACACTAGTATACACAATAAACTGCACCTTGCAACTGAAGTACCTACTTTTAGTGAACTGTTAAGAATTTTGAATACGCCACTTGGACCTTCCTACTAAATGGAAAAACCCACTATCACATTTTCTGTGGAATAAGTTTAGAAGGTAATTATCTAGTCAATTACTGTCGTAGATTCCTGGAATTAAAGAATTAAATGTTTGATTATTCAAACCCTTACTTCGTGGAATGCACTCATTTCAGATAAAATAAAACGTTTTATTTTATCTAAAGAATTAAACTTTATTTTGCAAATAGGTAGGTACTTATTAAACTTTTATTGGTTATATATAACCAATAAAATAAACATCTTACATTTCTTGCAAATTCATTAGTACCTGTTAACCTCCATCACTCCGACACTGGCAACCTTATTTAGGGATTAGTAACCCTCACAACTATTGTATTCTATTCTGCTCCAACCTTTATACCTGGTGATCATACTCAATTTAAAATTGTTTTCCTATATACTTCTGTAAACTTGTTGACAAATATCTGTTTTTCATTGAGTCACCCGTATCAACAGTTTAGGGATTTGCATACATAATTTATTGTTTTATTACTCTCTCATACATAAAAATACACTATAATTAAAACAATCATTGTATTTACATTTTCAAACTTTGTACTAATTAAATTAGATAAATTAGAATCCCTACACCACTGTATGATTATTGTGAACAGTCGTAAAATTTAAATTTGGCGCCTTTGCATTTTCGGATATGTCCGCCATATTAAGAGGCCACTTTTATGAATTTTGGTCTCCTTTTCATAACGGTTAGATTCCTTCTTTTGTCTTTTGCTCGATGCACTTACTACACTGACAGTGCTGCCATAGTTATACAAAGCATAGTTTTCTTTTTGAAAATAACAACTTCGTTTATTGAGTATCTTATTATTAAAAGCAGAGCAGTGCTCGAACAAGAGGTCATATGCTGGTATTAAGTAATATTACAATAAGGGGCTCAGAGGAAAAGTGGTACAAGTGACATTTAGATAATTTATTATTTATAGTTATTTACTTAAATGAGAGTTAAAGTGTAAGTATAGGCACAAAAAATAAAATGTACCATTTTAGTTGTTTATAGTAAAAATGGTACAAGTAAATATTACTTTAAGTAATTTATATTGCATCAAAATACATGAACAAAAAATGCATAAAAAATAAAAACGAAATTATATTATATAAACTTTGCTAGCAACTGAGTTAGATATCTTCCTCATCATCATAGTCACTCAAAAGTATTGTGTCATTGTCGTCTAACCCTACATCATCTTCATTGTTCTTATCTTTCTTTTTTCAGGTTGCATTGGATTCTTTTTCTGACCTTGTTTTCCCTTCTTCTGAGTATGCTTGAGCTGATTGTAAAATTGATGGTAAATTGGGGACAGAAGCATATTAGGTCTTGTAAATTTTTCCATTTTCCGTATTTCAGAGTCATAGGTGAACTATACAGTTGGCTACGACTAATACTCTGAGGTATTCTTCCACGCATCTTCTTCATGTAGTTAACAGTTATACATTCAATCTCTTCATTAAGAGTGTACTTAATCTTCATAATAAATGGGTCTTTCTTCTCAAAACGAATCCATTTTATTTCTCTCCATTTTATCTGCTTATTCGCATCATCCTTTTTAATACTTTCCTAACCGTACTCGTTGAAGTTTTCGAGTGAAGTGCAGTGCTCCATCTTCATTTCTTCACATTCAAACTTCTTAGAACTGTTTCTCACAACATTAATTCACTTACTGGCTACAAAAATGAAAAGTTCTTGCTTTTTGTACTTTTCAATGACTCCGAAATCTTCATCGCATCCATGAAGATATGTCCCGGTTCCAGGAATTTGTGATCTATTATTTCTAGTTGAGTTTTGTTAACCATGTACATAAAAAAATTCACAATGTTTTTGTTCTTATTTTGTTCTGAACAAGAATCACTAAATGCAATTCTATGTCGTGTATTTTGATTAAGATCAGCAATAAATTTCCAAAGACATGAAACATCCATAGAGCCATTTTTGTCCAAATTATGGATCCCGATTATTTATTTTATCATTTTCTTTTTATCTGACTCTCTTGTGCACGATTTTATTGATGTTTCGAACTTATCGTACTTATTACAAGTATCGGACAAGGGATGATGAAAACAGATTAAATTTGGTATTAAACACTCTCCTGTAGCACCATTCCTTGAGAGGAGCTTCGTTATTTTCTTGACAGTGTTCTAGGTAACACTTATACATTTTTCTTATGGTCAAAAATGAAGGCATATACTGTCTACGGGGATTGTAATGTCTGGTGTAATGGCTGGTATATTTTGGAAACATCAATATGTCGTTTTATCTTATCAATTACATCCTGTAATAGTTTATTAGGACATGAAGCTCTTCATCTTTTATCAATAGCGGTGATTCCAACGTCAGATATTCCATTTAAAATTCTCGAATAACGTTCATTGTTGATATCCAACGTTTTTAAGAAAAACATTTTGCAAACCCTCATATTTTCTATCAAATTGAAACAGCTCGTATAATAACAGCTTCTGTGCGTCGTCGTTTGGGAAAAGCGATCTCTGTACAAGACGTAATGACTGCATTCTGCAGATTCCAATTTCGTAGATCCCAGAATTGGTTAAATATTTCCTGTCTTTGTTCATCGGTGAATTTTTGACACTGAAATCTGCAAGTATGTATATGACTTTGCAAACTTATTACTTTTACTAACTTGTTTTTGTAGCCTACGTATTCTTCACCTGCATTCCTTTTTCGTTTTCTTACTTGCCTTTTATCTAAATCGCTATATCTCAAACGTTTTTTGCCTGTTTTCTTTAATGACACGTTTAAATGAACATCTGCAATGTTTTTCAGATCATGATTACTATCTTCCATTGGATTATAGTTATGCTATCAGTTTCTTTCAACTACTACTTTTTGAAGATATAAATAAATAAAATAACACTATAAGATAATAATTTTATTGTAGACATATAAAATTACTATGTAGACTTACCTGGCATTATTTTAAGGCTATTGTACAAATTGTATTAATATCCTTGCACACTTTTAAAACGTGGCCGTTACAAACAACTACATAAGGTTTAGAACAAAAGTGGGACATGTACACTTGCACCACTTACATATACAGAAAACTATTACCAGAAATTGGTGAGAGCTTTTACTTCTCACAGCCGTACTGGATTGTGTTTTGTACTTGTACCATTTTTATATTAATAAATATCAACATCGTTTAGCCACTCATGCACATATCTGACTTTTCTACAAAATGTCACTTTTACCACTTTTCCTCTCAGCCCCTCAATTAATGTCTTTTAAGACGAAGATGATGCTTTCGATATGGGGAGCATTCGACAACAGCTCCTACAAAGCAATCACAAGAGCAATTTGTTAGCTAAACTTTCCTTATTTAATTGGCCAGGCAAGAGACACTTGTATACAATGGAACTGTTTCATGGAGACTTAAATTGCAAACTGTCTAACGGAGAGCCTTAAACAATCTATAATTTATAACAGATGGTTTCTAAAAAAGCAACATGCTCGGAATATTCCAGTCCTCTATAGTTATTATACAAATAATAATTTTTAGTTTTAATTTTCTGTGAAATTTTTATATTTTGGTTTTTGAATCAATTTTAAGAAGTTCTGCAATGAATACCATTACTATCTGGCTTGGTTTATATATTCCAGCTAAGTCTAAAAAGTCCCCATTTTGACGAACACCTATTCTATATAGTTACTTGGTGTTTTTATGCACTTCTTGTTTTCACTATCAAAAGATGGGAGAATTTATGCTTGCAATCGAATTCCAAAATCTTTGAAATCATCAAAACTATTTACTTCACCAGGCAATCTATTCTTCGTCTTCAGGTTCCTTCTCCTATCGGAGGTTGGAAATCATCATCGCTATTTTAATTTTATTGGCCGCGTTTCTGAATAATTCTCATGAGCTGCAACCGAACCTTTCTCTCAAATTTCTTAGCCAGGATATTTTGCGTCGTCCTTGGTTTCTCTTCCCTTGTATCTTCCCTTGCATAATTAACCTAAGTAATACGTACTTCTCGTCCCTCATTATATGACCCAGATATTGAATCTTTCTAATTTTAACAGTTTTTATGACTTCACATTCTTTCTTGATTCTCTGTAACACCTCTATATTAGTTACTTTTTCAGTCCACGATATTATGTGGATTCTCCTGAAGCACCACATCTCAAAGGACTGTTTTATTGTCCACGCTTCCATGCCGTATAGTAAAGTAGAAAAAACAACGTAGCATTCTTGTGCGACGGTTGCAAAGTAAGTTCTTCAATTTTTTGAACGTGTTTCTTGTCATTTCTATTCTAGATCTGATTTCTTTTGTTTGATCTCCATCTTCGGTTAGCAACGTTCCTAAATATTTATATGTTGTTACTCTTTCGATAGTTGTATTATTGATGATCAGGTTATTTACATTTTGTGGGTTTTTTTAAAATATCATTGATTTCGTTTTCTTGAGATTCATTTGCAGTGCTTACCTTTCACATGCATTGTATACATGTTGTATTGTAGATCTTCCATGTCACTTGCAAATATGACCGTATCGTCCGCATATCTAATATTATTAATGCTATTTCCTTTGACCAAAATACCTTCCACAATATCCAATAAAGCTTCTTGAAATATCACTTCACTGTAGACGTTGAATAAGAGTGGTGAAAGTATGCACCCTTGTCGAACTCCTCTAAGTATACTTACTTCCTCTGTCAGTTCTCCTTGTTTTCTGATTTTGATACAGATTCGATATAATTTGTAGATCTCTACTATCTATATTTTTGGTCTTAAAAATTCTTAGAAGCTTTTCATGTTTAACTCTGTCAAAAGCTTTTTTAAAATCTATGGAGCAAGATTATATGTCATGATTCATATTCAGATATCGTTGTGTCAGAACATTGGACTCCGAATAATGCTTCTCTAGTTCCTAGACCATTTCTAAAACCCATCTGTGAATCACTTATTTCTTGTTCTAATTTCATGTGGATTCTGTTATGTATGATTTTAAGGAAGGTTTTCAATGTGTGGCTCAATAATGCAATTGTCCGATAGTCATTGCAATCTTTAGCATTTGTGATTTTTGGAATCGTTACAAAAGTTGAGAGAAGCCATTCTTTGGGTGTGTCCCGTCTTGTATATGGAGTTAAAAGGTCTACCAAGACATCAATATTATCTTCATCAATTGTCTTCAATAGTCCAATTGGTATATTATCGGGTCCTGGAGCTTTTTTACCTTTTGTGTGTTTTATGGCATAAATAACTTCCTCTTTCATTATTTCTATTCCCATGTTTCTATTCCCCGTCAACTTCTAATTGTTCTACTTTTTGGACATAAAATAGGTGTTTAATGTATTCTTTCCATCTACGTAATTTGTCTTGCGTTTCAGTTCTATTACTTGTTATTAATTAGTACCGGACAATCAATTAGGATTAATTGTCACAGCAGGATCTGTCTTATGAGGTTTTACTGTATGTAGAAATAGTGTATTAGCCTTCTTTTACAATTTATTGTAATCTGAAAGATTTTAAAATTTTACTCTTATTTTATTTAGATTTTTATAATCTATCATCGCATTTTATGTTAGCGAGTATTAGCAAGTAAGAATAACAATATCTATAGAATAGTGTCATATCATTTCTAACAAGACAATTTGTTGTCGCCAAGTTTTGTATTTTTAATTATAGAAAACAAGTACATAGTTACAATAAAGGGCAATTTTTTATTAATAAACAAATTATTCGAAATGAAAACCCCTTTTAAAAATTTAATTTGTCGGTTAAACATTTAATTCGTCGGCCAAATTTATGCGGAATTTTATAGATATTAAATTGGAACTAGAATGTGATAATGTGACCATATGTATGATTTATAGATCATAACTTACCAGAATGTGATAATTATTTTTATATAAATTTTTAATATAAAAGCAGAGTTATTAATAAAATATTGTAGAATGTTGACTATGATCATTTAATAGAATACCTGAACATATAAAAATATCATTGATGTTGATAAAGCGTGCAAGAGAGTACTTCGGGAGGTTTTATGGTATATACTGCATACGAAAAGTATTTCCGGTGAGCATGTGAAGATTGTTGGATAAATGTATGATGGAGCAATAATTACTGTTATTTGCCAGGTCTACGAGTAACTGTTAAAGTTTAGATGAAAAGAGGATTGGATACTTACTGTATGCTGATGATTATTTTATTAAAAGGAAATACTTAAAGGGAAGTTATATACGAACAGAGGAAGGAATACTGATCTGCAAGCCAGGTAATGTTAGCCAAGGGAAGAAGTTTTGAAGGCGATATGAGAACACAAAAATAACAAAAATTTCGTTAGAGCGGAATAGTTGCGGAAATGCTAAAGACAGAAGATGAAACAACGATACAAAAAAATATCCAATAGACAAAAAGTCCAATAGACAAAAAGGGAATAAGTTTTGCTGCGAAAATTACAGAGTGATAGCTCTAATAAATATCTATAAATTTACTAATGTTTGTATTTTGAGAACGATTTAATATAACCTTTAATTGAGGCAGTCTACGTGAGAAGAGCACATAGAACAAAAGTGGGTTTTGAGAAAAACCACTTTGAAATTTTAACTTGTTGCTATAGATACTAAGTTATTTAATTATTGTGGATTATTCCCATTTAAATAGTAAGTACTTTAAAATGCCTCAGGGAAATAGCTTCAGAACAATATTAATAAACATCTGCTACAAAATACTAGCGAATATTCTCCGTCACATACTGAATAGGTACTCCAATCAGATGCTAGGGAAATACCAAGCTGGCTTCAGAAACAATAGAACCGTAGCGGATCAAATATTCTCATTAAAGAAATACAAACCATGTTCTATGAATATAAACTTCCACTTTATGATAATTTACCATTCTGGTAAAGGAATTAAATCAGTGACTGCTTTGTTTTTGTGGTTTCTCTTCAAGCTTACCACCGCTTTCCATACCTAAATTGACTTAAGTCTTCCTATATTACATTTCACGAATTTGAAATTTTGGATTAGCGATGAAAGCTTTGACGTAAACGGTCTGCTGTATTGAGAAATTTAATACCAAATTCTCCCAATATTTGAAGCACTGTAGAAGACAAGTAAAAATGCGGTTTTTTAGAGGGATATACAATTTAGTGCAAAAATAGAAGAACATTACAAATTCTATTGTTTTGAAATTGTAGCGGTAAGTATTTACTAATAAAATAATAACAATAACACTCAAAATTTTTCTTATAAGAAGATAAACAATGAAAGCATTACCTTACAGTGTAATCAAGAATTAGACCCATAGTCATAATCACTATTGTCGCTTTCATTTGGATTGTAAATGATGCGATTTTAACGCATCCAATATTCTTCTATAAACTTTCTACATTTTCGCAAATTCTTTCCTAAATTTCAGGAGTAGCAGTATTCACTACTTCTTGTTATGTTTCAAAAACTGTTGCGTTACTATAACCATTACGTTCAATATAGTTATCGTAGCAAGTTTTGCATATTCTCCAAATATGTTCGATGGGATTGAATTCACAATGCGAAGGAGACAGTATTGACACAAAACAAAACTATTTATAATCTCGTCTACTATATTTTTTGGTCTTCATTCCTTTTGGTTGACTAGTAATTGCGGCTTAAAAAAATCGTGACGAAAATGAAATATTTTCATTCATTCTTTTATTTTATGTATTGTCCAGGAATTTGTTGGTTTATAATATAATATAATATAATATAAAGAAAGGATATTTTCTTGTGATTAGTGATAAGAAGGTCATGAACGATACGTTTACAAAGTAAACGGATTGAAAATACACAGATACAATAC